TAATTCTCTGAACCATACCGTGTGTGTATATATATATATATATATATAAGTTTGGCATGTGTAAATATTGTTGTATGATGTACAAAATAAGAACCGTTTCGATTAACAAATACCTGAAATTTATTAACCAAAAGTTTGAATATTTCCTACTTCCAATCAAAGTAATAATATAATATTACTGACAATCACACCTTAGCTATCAGAGTAAACAAATAGATACACACGTACAAAAATACATATACATGTGTGTCATTCTAGCCCTGGAATGTGATAAAAGAATTTTTTTAAATCTTTTTCCAAAATATCAAAATGAAACAATTGATTCGACATATGGATAGTTATCACTGTTTGTGCTTTCAAATATTGTTGTAGCATTATGGGTAAATATATGTACATACTTACATACATACATACACATACATATACATAAAAATAGGATGGGAAAATATGTTTGAAATTTTCTAGAACTACATTTATAAAAATGTTCCCATGCAAATCTTAAAAAACAAGAAGAGGATAGTGTTACAAATGAGGAAAAGGTGTCTGAATTAAAACCTTCATTGGTCTAGGAAATGTCTTCCTAAAAAGTTGCGATTCTTCATTTTTTCAGATCAGTTTCTTCTTGACTTTTGGTTGGGAAGTCTTGGCTTTTGGTCCGAAAACTGTCTACCAACGGTTTCAAACTACCTCTTGCTATTTCGATCTATAAATATATGTTAGTAGGAGAGAAAGTTCATCATTATTATTCCTTTTTTGAGGAAAAAAGTTTTCTTCAAAATTTCCGTAGAACCATCTTGAAAGAAAAGTGAAAACACAAAGTTCATGGACTTCCTAAATTCTTAACCAAATTTGAGGGAGAATTCACAGTTAAATCCTGGAAACAGATTGCTCACGCACTTCTGCACAAAGGGAAGGAGCAAAAATTCTATTTTAGGACATTAATCAAAGATCAAGCCTCTATGATTTGTAAGTTAGTAATTTATTAGTATTAACATTATTCTAACTTATCGTATCAGTGATTTGAACTTGTTTAGTAATAAGATTTGTTACTGATAGTTTTTTCATTTCCTGTTTCTTAGACTTCTTGTTAGTCTCCAACAGATATTTCATTCAAATTTTTTGAGGAAGGTTTTTCATGCTTGCCTACAGAGCAATTTGAATCGTTTTATTGTAGTACTTATTGTCTTACAAAGAAAATGAATTATGTTGGAGAAGTGTTTTATGTTTTTACATTTCTTTGTGGTTCAGTTGCATTGGAGATTGGAGAATGATAACATATGCTACTATATTGTTTTTACATGATCTTTTTTTTTTGTTGGATGAGGATTTTCTTGAGCAAATTCTATTTAATCAATCCTTAGATGAACATGTAGGACATGATACGAAATTTGTCAATATGATTCTTAATTTTATTTTTTTCTTTTGAAAAATTAAACTATAGTGGGTGTCTCACCCTATGGTCCAACCTTCTCTTGCCAGTCACTCGGTGTCTAGGTACTCGCTGACATAAGAAGTGAGTAAAGGAGAAAAAATTGTTCATCCAACAAATGTGGCGCGGGTCAATCACGTACTAGTGTGGGGAAAGTATCTACCCCGTGCCCACCCAAACTATTTGGTTTAGTCATCTCTAACCAAAACATAAAAGTTGTAGATAATCACAATATATAACTCAATTTTTTTTCATTATTTCAAAAGATTGGAGGCAATTAAGGGAAAAAAAGTGGAGCTATTAAAACGACAAAAAGTCATTAATTTACTCATTTATGAGAATAACAAAACCTTGACAAGACAGAGGAGTTTATGTTGCTCCATGCCCACCCAAACTATTTGGTTTAGTCGTCTCTTACCAAAACATAAATTTAGTTGTAGAACTCAATTATTTATTTTTTCATTATTTAAAAAAATGGTGGGCAGTGGCAATAAGGAAAAAAATGTGGAGGTAATTAAACGACAAAAAGTCATTAATTTATCATTTATGAGAATAACATAACCGTGACTAGACAAAGGAGTTTACATTTTTCCTCATGAATTATGTCATGGATCTACAAAACAAAAGCCTTATATACTTTTTTTTTCATATTGTACATAAAATAATCAAGAAGAAAAATGGTGTAAAGGATGAGAAAAATTATCATACTTGAATATAAGGGGAAAAAAGTTGTTATGCATTCTATATATCTTCCTATTTCTATGGGATGGAAAAATTAATTTTTTCATAAAATTTCATACTTCAATCAAGTACCAGTGTTTCATCATCAGTAAGCAAAGGCAAAACAAAAACAAAAAAAAAAAACTTTACTACAGAAAAATAACGATTTTATTTTTTATCTCGATATAAAAAACATTATAACCTTATAGCTGAAAGCACAGGACATAACAAAAATTAATAGCAAGAGAAAACTTTGAACTAAAGTTTTGCCCTAACACATGATTAGGGCGCCTTATTAGGAGAGATCCATGCAGCAGAGACTTAGAATTACTTTGACATAATTTAAAAAAAAAAAAAAAGGATACATGAGAATAACTCGAGTGTTGAGACCACAATCTTATATGTATTGAAAAACGTGCAAACATAGCTAGGTAATTAGGGGAAATCCATTAAGGTTTTATTTTGGAAGGACCCTTTATATTTTTCAAAAGTACATTCTCAACAAGAACTGAGATAACCTTCTTTTTAAGTCCTTTCAGTGCCTTCTTCAACTTCAGAAGTTGCTCCAGATTCATCTCTTCAATTGGTGCCTGCCACCAGTTCTTGTGCTGGCCTTCTTGTATCATCTGAACAAGAACTTCTTCACATTTTTTGTTGGCTTTCAATTGTTTTTAAGGTCGATAATTTTATTGAGCTCAGAAATGTTGTCACCATGTGATTGGCAACAACATGGTGATCAGTGCCACCGTGGATGCTAGGTGATGGCTTGTTTCAAGGAACTTATCAGTGACAGATTCGAAAGATGAATGACCAAAAGCGTAAGCCTTTTTTCCAGGCGAGAACACACAACAGAGCAAGTTCTGCACTACCATTAAGAGTGCAAAGTTGGCTGGCTTTCATGAAAAGGTCATTGCGACGCTTTGAGAAGTTATCATGGAGGTTGTTCTTTTTTCTCCATTTCAACTATAGGAACCTTTTGGTGACCTTCTGTTAATTTTTCGGCCGTGACTTGATCTGATCAATTCACAATGTCAATATTTGAGAAGAAGGAAGGGCAGGGGGTATTTATCGGGTTTTTTTCATGCCATTGATGCCGCTTTTCCTATTGTGACCTTGTCTTATACGGAAAAAATTAATTCACATTGGAGTCATATTTATCCGCAATCTATTGCATTTATGATAGGATAGCAAATTTAAAACTTACCAAATCAAGCCTCTGCACAATTGTTCAATTAGCTTCCACGTGCCAAAGATTTGCATTAAATTTTTGTCCTAATCTATTTTCTGAACTGTTTTACAATCAGCAGTATGACAGTGTCTATGCACGTATAGAAATTCAATTAAATATTTTTTTCCCAAATTGTACTGCTTAATTTTGAAAATATTAATTCTTACTTGTCATTATAGATATGCCTTTTATATTTGCTGATGATCCACTTTATCACGAAGTCAAAAAGTCGACAATTTATATTTATGAATGCCGCTCGTAAAAAGTTATCCTTAACATTGTTGAATTCATGTACAGATAAAGCATAGTTGTACAAATTGTTAAACTCTTCCTTATAAAATGAAAGCTTTGAGATATAACTTTTAAATAATAGTATTCATCCATCGTAAAAGTTTGAAAAAGTAAGTCTCCCCTAAAATTTGGTTTCTCAGAATCACACCATTCTCAAATCCTAGTCTGGTACTTCATATGGTTTCTGTACTTCATTTTTTTTTTTTTTTAAGTTTCTGTACTTTAATCCTCTGAACCATACAGTAGATATATAATTTTGACATTGATAAATATTGTTGTTTGATGTGCAAAATAAGAACCGTTTCGAGGGCCAAACTGTTGAAATTTATTACCCAAAGGCTATTCCTACTTCCAATCAAAGTATTACATCTGGAATTGATGCCACATCAAGCATGTATATTTTGATGACTGTTTTTGTGGCTTTTAACTGTGAGTTTCAACTTCAAACTCATTAACAATTTGACATGAAACATTATTGTGAAATATGTAAAGTGTTACAGACAAACCCATTCGAATTGTGAAATAAAGATTTTCACGTGAAATTGGCTATATAAAATTCTATAATGAATATCAAGACTATAGAAGATTTCAAACATTGACAAAGGTAAACTTTCTCTCCCGAGTGAGAGTCAATATTTTCTCTCTCTTAGGAAATGCGCCAATCTTCCTCCTTGGAAGGGTGCTGAAGCGTTTTGTGTCTGAAAACAGAGGAACAACCTAAGCACTAAAAACAACCATCCACTTTAGCATTAAAAGGCATTCCGACATTCTTAGGTTTACCATTAATCCACTACCGACAAGATCTCAGCTTTAGTTCTGATTGGTGGACACACAGAAGCAGCAAAGTGAAGGTATTCCACTGCCTTCCCTGTCGGAAACATTACTCCAAGCTAACACAGGTATCTTTAACGCAGTTTTCCCAGGATCTTTCAAGGTTCTGCATGTACTCTTGAGCTGAAAGTTTTTTAATTGCCTGCTAGTTTTCATTTTTTTTTAATGAGCTTTTAAAAAAAGGGGGGGCTGAAAATAGGAAATGTTTTAAGGAAAAAATTCTTTTAAAAAAAAGGTGGGGCAGTTCCAGTCCTGTTGGTTCTTCATAGCAAACAAACGGTGCTTGCTTCTTTTTATGGGGTTTTGGTACTAAAGCAGTAAGTTTGGCTGTTGGGAAGGGTTTGAGGTCTTATATACCTGAACTTCTTACCTTCAGTGAAGCACACATTTGGTGCATTTGTATTTAGGGGTTCCTTTGGGGTCAGCCAACAAACACTTCTGTTCTTTGTTCTAGACTGGTCTTGAGCTGTGACACTCCTTCTCAAAAAACCAGTAGGAGCTATGGCGGAGGAAATAGCTGATATACTGCAAAGATTTGTACTTTCCATCAAAGAAAGGGGAGAAACAGAGCTTGACTTGGGAGATGTAGGACCAAGCGTGAAGGAGTGCAAAGAAAGTCTGGTTGGGAAGATAATGGGTGAGAAAATCATAAACTTTGTGGGCGTGAAAATTTTTGTTACACTAGCATGGGGCTACCCTAAAGGTCTCAGGGTGGTGGAGGTAGGAGTAAACACGTTCCAGTTCTTACTACCTAGTGAGAAGGATAGAGAAAGAATTTCAAAGGGAGGTCCATGGATTATTGATAGCCAAATATTAGTTGTTAGACCATGGTTTGAAGGATTTGAAGAGGAAGGTGCTGATTTTAACATCGCTCCATTATGGATTCAAGTGTGGAATCTCCCTGTGCATTGGATATCTAAGGAGGTGGGAAAAAAGATAGCATCAGTGTTTCATGAAACGAAGGAAATGATTATACCTCAAGGAAGAGGAAAGGAAGGGAGACACATTAAAATGCTTGTGATGGCTGACATTTCCCAACCTCTTATGAGAGGTACCACGGTGAAAATGGAAGGAAAGGTGAAGTGGTTAAGTTTCAAATATGTGAGGGACCTGACTTCTGCTATACATGTGGCAAAATAGGACATAGTGAAAGGAATTGCTCAGATATCAATTTAGGTGGGAAAGGCCAGCAGGATAATCAATTCGGGCCATGGTTGAGGGCAGGAGGGGGAAATTGTCGCCTCAAAAGGAAAAGAGGGGGAGGCAGCCTGCTAATATTTTCCCAAACAAACAAAGGTGGGGTTTTAAAGATGGTGAGCTGGTCCCAAAAACAAGTGGAAGGGTGTTGGTGGATAGGGGTCAGGCTAGTGAGAATGAGAATACATGTAAGGATAGTGAACATATTATGGGTGACATACAGAGAGATGCCATAGTGACACCTAAAAACAAGGAAATATGAAGGAGAGGGAGGAGGCGAGGGATAACAAAAATGGGAAAGAGAAACAGGCACAGGAAATGCCTGAAGGGAGACTATGTGAAGGACAATTAGATATAGTTTTGGAAAAGGATGTAGAGCAATCCTCAAAGGGCATGCAACTAGAAGATCAGCTAGATGCAATGGAGGCAATGAGCAATCAGGGAATAAATAGAAGAACGGGAAAACAGTTAAAAGCGCCAGTGATAAAGAAAAAATCCCTGTGACATGTTCAGCATACTAGGATAAGTAAAGAGACTACGGGGAAGAGAAAATTCCAACTAACTGATGAAGATATGGTGGATGTGGAAGTGACTGAAATAGTTGGGAAAAAGTGGAAAAAGGGGAATGATCAAGAAAGTTGTGTAAGTCAATCTGAAGGGTGGTGGCCAACCTAACTTGGCCACCCATGAATAAATGAAAGCACTGGTGTGGAATTGCCAAGGTGCTGGGAGTCCCTTGACAGTTCCCCAGTTGAGGGAGGTTTGCAACCTCCTCTCCCCACAAATGGTCTTCTTGTGTGAGACCAAAAATAGACAACAGTTTATGGTGAAAGTTAGAAGACAATTGAGGTTTGATGAATGTGTAGTGGTAGAGTCTATGAATAAGTCAGGTGGTATGACAATAATATGGAACAAGGAGGTAAAGGTTTTGGGTTCCAAACAACTGCTTTCACTATGAAAATCCACATTATGGATACAGACAAGAATGTGGACTGGTGGTTCATAGGCATATATACGAGTACAGACAATCAAGTTAGGAGGAATCAGTGGGAAGTTGTAGAACGAAGGAAGGTGCTATAGGGTCCTAGATGGATGATTACGGGTGATTTTAATGACATTACATCAAATGAGGAGAAATGGGGTGGTAGAAAAAGAGAGGAAGGAACCTTCAAAGACTTTAGGAACTTCATTGAACAAAATGGACTCATTGATCTTGGTTTTGAAGGTGACCCCTGGACATGGAGTAACCATTGGACTCAAGAAGGTGAAATCAAACAAAGGCTAGATAGAGCCTTGGGAAGTAATGGTTGGAGCCAAATGTTTGACAGAACTCTAGTTAAACATATAGATAATTTTGGACCAAACCATAGTATGATGCTTATAGATTCCAACCCTCTAAAGGAAAAGAGAAAGAAGCGATTCATTTTTTATAAAAGTTGGCTGAAAAAAGAGAGACTGGAACAAGTGATCAGTCAGGCGTGGGAGGAGGAGCAAATAGGCTCCAATATGTACAAAGTGCATAAGAAAGTAGCAAACTACAGATTGGCTTTACTGAATTGGAAAAATAACTTCCAAGGAAATGCTAGGAAGAGGATCGATAATCTGAAAAAGCTACTAGAAGAGCTCAACGTTAGTGAGTGCGATGACAAAAAGGAAAGAAACAAGGATCTCAGAAGACAATTAAAGGAGGCTTATGATGAAGAGGAAATTTTCTGGAGTCAAAAATCTAGAGCGCAGTGGCTCAAGGCGGAGGATAAAAATACTCATTTTTTTCACTCTAATGTGAAAGGTAGGAGAAAGAGAAACAAAATACAAAGACTACAAAGGAAGGACAGTACGCGGACTACATCAGAAGAGGAAATTGGAGAAGAAGTTGTGAACCAATTTAAGGAGCTTTTCAGTAGCAAGGGAGTGACTCAAACTGATATGGTTTTGGAGGGAATGTCACAGACAATATCAGACCACATGAATTCAGAATTAACCCAACCAGTCAAGGAGAAAGAAATTAAAGCTGCACTGTTCTCCATGAACCCAACCAAAGCCCCTGGACCTGATGGCATGACACCACTATTCTTTCATAAATTTTGGCACATTGTTAAAAATGATACCATAAAAGCCACCAAAAGCTTCTTTCATTCTGGCCATATGCTGAAAGCTATGAATCACACCAACATATCCCTTATCCCTAAGGTTGAGAACCCCACTGAGGTTAAGCAGTTTAGGCCTATAAGTCTATGTAATGTGTTTTATAAAATCATTTCAAAAATTTTAGCAAATAGATTGAAAAAAGTTTTGGAAAAATGTATTAGCAAAAACCAAGCTACCTTTGTACTTGGAAGGCAGATTTTGGATAATGTGATAATCTCTCATGAGTACTTGCATTACCTCAAAAACAAATGAGAAGGATCTCATGGTTTTATGGCCCTAAAGCTAGATATGTCGAAAGCTTACGACAGGGTTTGATAAGGATTTATTTTATGTATTTTTAAGTGCATTTTATTAGTTAATTTGGTTTGATTATTTAGTTTTATAATTAAATTAACTAAGATTTTGGTAAAAATATACATTTTTGGTAAAAGTGGCTAATATTGCATTTCTATTGATTTTAATAGTAAAAACTTCATTTTTATCCAGGAATGATGATTCAACCACCAAAGGATGCCAATTGAAGTGAAAAATAGAGATTTGGTGAAGAATTCAAAGTGGTAAAAAAAAAATGAAGTGAAAAACGTTTAAGTAAGGAAATGCAAGCCAAGACAGTTTTGACACTCTTCAGTATTTCGACTATATTTGGAGCTACATTGATCAGATTGAGGTGATCTTTATACCAATTTAAAGCTAAGAAAGAGATCTACATTTGGTATGAAAACATCAAAGTCCAATTCAGCCGTTTTCATAGTCCAAAAGTTGAAATACCGAAATTCAACTCAGCTGTCCAAAGTGGAAAACAGAGCTCTGACCAGTGTTTAGTATTTTGATCATATCTCAGGCTACAAAGCTCCGATTTGGATGATTCTTGAAGCATTGAAAATCTAACTCAAAGGGCTACAACTTTTGTGTTTTTGCAAAAAAGCCAGTTTGGCCTTTATGATAGATAAAATCACAGATAAAGTAAGGCCAAAGTGAATACGCGAGTACACAAAACGTGACTTGTAACCGCGTTTTGTGTAGGCCCGTTTTCTGGCCGAAATTCTGCAATTTGTTCAGTCAATTCTCTTGTGTTCAGACTACTTTCCAGCTATAAGTTGCAAGTGAATTCGGTGCACATGCTTCAGAAGACAAAAAGAGCATACAATATGGCTTATTCCAAGTCAAAAGTCATTTTTTTGACTTCCTTAACAAATGGAGAATTGAGAATCATTAGAGCAGAAATTTTGGACTAGAGAGGAGATTTTCATCAGCTTATATGCAGAGACATTTGGGAAGAAAAAAAAACATACGGGAGAAGCTAGAAGAGTGCAGAAATGTAGTTCTTCCATTTCCTTAGTGTAGGATAGTGTAGTAAGTGTAGTTTATCCATTCTTGTATAATGGCTAGATTAGGATGAAAATGGAGATGAAGAAAGAGAAGTTGAAGCTCAAGTGACATGGGTTATCTCTTCTCCAACTCTTTATCTTTTGTATTGGATTCTTAAATATGGTTAATATGCAAGTTCTGGAATTTATGTTCATTATTTGTTTCTAAAGTTTATGCCTTGGGTTTGGTTGAACTTTCTATGATTGTTAGTGCTTATTATTTGGCTACTTGATTGCTATTATTTGAGCAATTTATTTAGCACTTTAGCTCTTTAAATCATGGTTAATCTGGTACCATTAATTGTGATTATCTAAGATGCTATTTCTGCAATGAAAATTGAGATTTAACATTGGTTCAAGAAGTGCTAAACATAGGGAGTACACTCACGAAAGTAGAGGTGCACCTATGTGGTTTTTAGTGATTAATTTCATGTAATTTCACTGAAGAAATGAACTTGTAGCTAATTTCATAACCATGAGAATAAGTATGGATTAGTTATAAGTATAATTGATTCACTACGAAAGTAGGATTCAAATGCATAAGGAAATTACACTATAACTAGCCTAGATATAGTACTCAATGATCCAAATATAGCACTTGCATGAGTAGTTAGGGATACCACAACCTAAGGAGCTTTTATTTGTTATTTCGTATAATTTCAGTAGGTTAAATTTGTTATAATTAATTGATAGTCTAAATAATAGAGAAGGTTTAGTAATACCGGTAATTGTTCACTCTTCCCTGTGGGATCGACTCGATATATACCCTAAACTACTAGTTGATCTGTATACTTGCAGTGAACGGTGTAATTCGGTATTTTTTTAGCTTGCACGTATGTAAAATACCCGTCAGGGTTGAGTGGGGATATCTGAAGGAAATCATGGTACAACTGGGACTTTGTGATAGATGGATCAATTGGATAATGGAGTGCATCACAATAGCTTCTTTTTCCTTCAACATAAATGGAGAGCCTAAAGGATACGTGATACCTTCAAGAGGAATTAGATAAGGTGATCCTTTGTCACCTTACCTATACCTATTAGTCTCAGAAGGCTTTTCAAACTTGCTAGATCAAGCAGAAAGGAGCAAAAGGCTGACTGGGATGAGGATCAGTAGGAGTGGCCCGTCAATAACTCACCTATTCTTTGCAGATGACTCTTTAATATTTTGCAAAGCAAACAAGAGGCAAGCTGAAGAAGTGAGGAGAATTTTGAATATTTATGAACATGGTTCAGGACAGGTGATCAATATTGAAAAATCCTCAGTGTTGTTTAGTAGAAATGTGGAACAGAATGAACAAAGAGAAATCTGCAGTAGTTTAGAACATATAAAGGTGGTGAAGCAAGGGAAGTATTTGGGGCTACCAATGATAATCACTAAAACCAAAGACCAAATCTTTGGTTTCATCAGAGAAAAGTGCAAAAAAA